GAGAGACATTACTTCTCCCCTTGTCGGCGAGAGACGTTTCATATTACATAAAATAAGTTGTATACTTAACATTGTTCGTCAGGGTAAACCTCCAGCTATCTGGCGTCCAGAGTTCTTTTAAACGCTTGGACGTTTGGCTGGTTGCTCAATTCAGACAGCAGTTTATGGTAATTATCTATCACTCTATGGCTGAAGATGTTGTAAGGGTTTTAGACCGACAGTGTGACATGCTATACAGTTGTCGCCATCTTTGGTCTGCCTGTTTCACATGGTTGCAGGCATTTAATGTTTGGAGCATTTGCTCGTACGTCCTTTGCTATTTCAGCATAGATTCCACTAGGATCGTCGATATTCTGAGACCATTCCTTTAGCTAAGTCTTTCAGATTTGTGCAAATCACTGCCACCTCCGGTGAAGTAACTTCATATAAAATGGTGCGTGAGTTCAGTGCTTCACCTTTGCTCGCTAATCTTTTTGTTTTCAGACACTCTCGAGCGTAATCAGGCTAAGCTTCTCGTACCTTCAGGGTACAATATACTTTCCCTTGACTAACCGGTTGTTCTTCCTGTTGTATACCGGGCTATCGAGAAATAGGGAAGAGATTAGAGGTCAAATTGCTTTCGCAAGTCTTAACTGGTGAGTCCGTTCAAGTTTTTGATTATTGTTACATTTTTACGAATGTTTACCTTCTGTAACCACCCCTAATAATTTTCTCGAGTTTTTTATTTTTCTGCGATACGCGGTAATTAAGTCTTTTAGAGAATAGTTTCCCGTCTTGATCAATTTAGGTACCTGTACGAAATTATTTTTACAGTTCTATTTTAGACTGTCCTTAGTTTGTTATATTCCAATCATGACAGAATCGAGGAAAATCACTCCCATTTAGGAACACCTGGTAGTCCTTAACACGCTTAATTTTACCTGTCCGCTTGTCTACCACCAAAATACCGCTGTGTGGTTATTATTTACAAACTCCCATTTTTCAACCCGGGATATCACTCAGACTGATTCTAAATTTTATCATGTATTACAAGCCTTACCTTCAGATGTCGCCGAAGTAGTCTTTGACTTCATGAATCCTTTCCCATATGAGGCTCTTCGGGAATCAGTCCTAAACCTTTGTTGACAAAAGAAAACTGAGAGACGTGGAATGACCCTGGGCTCCCTTAAATCTTCTCAACTCTTGCGCAACACGCAGAAAGAGCTCGTTACATTCAAGTTGGAAGACAAATTAACTTAATTTTTATGGGTCCAAAAGTTTCCGAAGTTCATGGACCCAGCTCCCTTAGACTTGCGGCCGGAGTAGCCGACAAAACTATGGCCTTCTACTTGCAAGGCAACTCATTTAGCAGTCCTACCACAGCTGACACACCCGACCCGTCCAACGCGAATACCATTCAACTTGCGGCCATCTCAGCTCGCCTAGACAGGGTTGAACATTATAAATTCAAGGCCCATTCAAAGATCCCACCGGTGCCGCAGCCGATCACGTGGTAACTCTAATCGCTCACCCTCAGCCTCCATCACAGACCACTTGCCGGTACTACTACAAGTGGGGTGCCCAAGCAAGCAACTGCATTGCCCCGTGCCAATGGTAGCAGTCACTAAAACAGGGAAAAGGAACGGCCAAAGAGTAGGAGCGCACTACCCGTTGGCCCTAAATCCGGTAGACACCTGTTAAGAAAAGCCCCTATCCATTTAGTAAGAGTTCCAGGATGGCCAAAGCTCTCGAACGTTTTTAGCAGTAATCGGTGATGAACCGAATCGAAAGCCCTTCTATTGCCCAAGTAACAAATTTTGACCTTTTGACCTTCATCCAAGTTTCTTGTGACCAAGACCCGGGACCATTGGACTTAACTCCGAACCGTGAAATCTTTCAAGACTTCAAGACTCATCGAAGAAGCACAACAGGTTACTGAGACATGACATCTTTTTGAGCAACCCATGCTGGGTTGAGAATAGTAAGTTATACCGCGCAGTATGATCACTTATCCTTTTTATTACTATCAACTCAGATCCTTTACAAAGGATGCTAATGAGACTAACTGGTATGCAGTTTCCTGGAACCTTTCGGTCATCCCCCCTTGTGTATCGCCACAACTGTCGCTGTCTTCCAATCTTTGGGTATCTCTCCGAGTCTTAGGNGATTTTTCTTAGATCGTACACATGGGAGCCGCTAAGATCTCTGCGAGCGGCTTGACAATGGCCGAATGTAGTTCATCACCCCACTCTGATTTGCTAGATGTTGACTCTGCGAGTACCTTTTGAACTTGGGTTCTGTCTACCTGTTGGTCGCTTATTGGAGGAGCTCGTACCTGTGGCATATGTAAAGAATACCTGCGCCCATCATCAACCTTATAGGCGCTTTCGAAAAACTGTTTGATTATCTCGCACTTCGCCAACTCCGACGACATTTTTTCCACTGCGTGATTTTGTAGGACCCCAATGGATTACCTTAGGGCAGCCTTCGATTGTACATAGCTGTAAAACATTTTGCAACTGATTTAAGCTCGCTGAATAATAATCAGTTAATGTTTTAATTTAGCTTGCTTCATAAGCTTGTTAGTGTAATTTCGGGCCATTTTGTAGGCCAACCACCTATGCTGCCCTCCAAAGGTTGTATATTCCCTCCATTTACGCCACCCGAAGGTTATCGCTCTCTTTATGGGATATGTCCACCATTAAGGGCCTTGAGAATTACTCTTCTTTTGCAATGACGCGGAACTAAAAGTGAGCTCTAATACGCCCCAGGCCTCCTTAGCAGATAAATCTTGATTAGGATACCACCGAATGTTTGAGCCAGCCTCTTGAATTAGGCCTGCCATATTCATTCGACCAAAGTTCCTGAGGAATTTGTGGAGAGGCTTTTCCAGAGTTATGCACGTTCTAAGTGTGATTACACTATGATCGCTCTCATAAAGAGGGACTTCGACCGTCAGTTCAGTAACGTCGTTCTCCGTTCGGTCCTTAGCCTTACAACCCAAACACTCCTTATTGAACCGACCCTAGGGCAACGCTGGTATTCGGAGTCACACGAAGTCATTTTCCACTTCGGTTGCCTGAGAGAAATCGCACAAGAAGGAGCTGCCTATCGTCAATCTTTAGTTTTTACTACCCTCTTAGATTCGTTGAACTGTCTGTTACCTTGGAAAGTACTCCTGCAACAGTTATTTCGAAAGAAAGCGGGTAGACGACTAACGAGATTCGTTTTCGGCGTCGACTCACTTAAACCAGTCGAGCGTCCGAGCTTCCATGTACATATGTTGACAGTGAGTTTCCTTAGCTTTCAAAACTTCCAAATACAATTTTCTGAAAGGTAAAATAGTGTAGTTGGATATCATCTGGTACTGAGAGCGCCAATTGGACGCATCGATCACACAGTAATACGCTTCGATGTACCATCTACGCCGAAAAACCCACCGGATAGGACATGCAGGTCCTTTAAAAGAATGAACAGTGAAGGGCTGCTGACCAGGGCCGCCTGTGTTTCACGTTGATTTTGTGAAAATCCTTCCCAACCCATAATGATTACATCTCATTACATTACATTCTTGCGTTGCTTATTTATTGACGTATTCTCACTCACAAACACCCACACTATTGTTTATCTGTTGACTCGATGCCCACCGCATTTCAATTTGGCGTGGTTAGAGAACGTGATCAACATGTTGGGTCTTGTTGTACATCCTTTTTGGTTCTCGATTGCTTGAGTGCTTTTGGCTGCATATTTGATGTTTGTTTTGTTGTACATTTTGTAATGATTTTTCTAATTCAGTATCATAGAACATTACGGATCAATCGTGTTTTACTTCTAGATTCGTATCGGTTTCGGCTACGCGTCCTCAAGTGAAGTTCATTGCCACCTTAAGCTGGGGGTAAAGCAGAAACACAGTTGAGGAACTGTGGGGAGCTCTAAAAGGCAACCTTACTGATCTTACACAGGGATTTGTTCCACTGTGGAAAATTGGAAGGCAAGGAAGACCCCCGTGGTGAAAGAGTGGAGTGGGCAAGACCCAACGACGGAAACATGTCGCAGAGGCACGTTTAAGAGGAACAGGAGGCCATATAAGGCTTCTACAATACGGAAGGGCTACCAAAGCTGCGGTGAGGGTCCAGAGAGCATGTCAGATGAAGTATGAAAAGTGTTCCGCACTTAGGGCTAAAACCTGCCCGAAGGCTTACTACAACTACGTCCAGTCTAAAGCGACTCTGAGGTCAGTAGTGGGCTGTGAGAGACGTAAATGAGCAGCCTGCTGAGAGTGACACAGAGAAGGCAGAGATCCTGAAAAAGCTTTTTTGAAAGGGTGCATCAGGCGGATGGGGGATCTACACCAGTCCTCCAATCTGCCTGAGTTCCGTTGATGGAGGAGCCACTCTTTCACCCACAGGAGATAGAGGTAGAGCTGAAGGGATTGCAAAGGCACAAGTTTGCAGGGTCGGATGGCATCCACCCGGTGATTATGAAGCGTTTAGTGATCGGGCTCAGGGGGACAGGCTCAGGGTCAGTACTTTAGTGCAGGTGGACTAGATAAGTGGAAATATGACTTCAGAGAGGATTAGGGTGACTGTTTACAAGTTTACACGTTTTCACCATTCTCACTTGTCCTCTGCACTATTCGCCTTTTCCTCTCTTCCTTCTCGAATTTATCAAGAAAACCTACATCCTTATCGACCAATTTATACAGGATGATCCAAAGGAAACCATATCCCAACCGAGAGAGATAAGCGGAGACGACTCTCAGGGGCGTTACAGTAAAATGCACCCTAAATCATACGGGTCACAGAAGCAAATGGTGGCGCTCAGTCATTAACCATCCTTGCAAACAGAGGAAGAACCAAAAATAAATGGTTCATATAAATGAACAGCTACGGCATACGCTATGCTGCCCCAAAAAACGGATACATGTTTTTACAATACATCTGATGATTTATATATATATATATATGTATAGTGTTCAGTTGTTCGCCGAGTTTGACAATTGTATTGCAAACGTTTCATCACCAATCGACGTG